TTCCTCTTTTGTCTGCTTGTCCCACTCCACAATCTCCGTTAAGGCCTTTTTTCTAGTTTCTTTAAGGGATTTTCCTCTCAACAGAGAGTCTTAGTTAAAAATACTTAAAGTCAACATTTGACCATTTCTTTTGAAGATTTCTTATTCTGGAATACTTATATTTTTAAGAAGAATTTTAGAATCAAGGTACTTTTCAGATTATTTTAACTTGCGTTGCCTATAAAGTCAGTTTTAGGAAAAAGGAGGAATTAATACTGAAAGAAGTACAAAATATTCACCCAGGTGATAGGATATTTAGCATCTGTTTTAGCCAATGATAAAGCACAGAACACTCTTGGTTTCCTATGTTCTTGGATGACCAACCAGTGGGACTTTCGGGCTGTAAGAAAGACTATAATGAATTTTAGGCAATGTTGGACAATGAATAAGGAAGACTACAGAAGAATTGATGCATTTGAGTTATGGAGTTAGAGAAGAGTATCAAAAAGACCATGACTGTCAGAAGAACAAATAAATCTGTGTTGGAAGAAGTACATCCAGTGTTCCTTAGAAGCCAGGACGGCCAGACTTCATCTCTTATGCTTTGAACACATGTTCAGAAGGGACTAGTCCCTGGAGAAGGGCATTATGCTTGGTAGAACAGAGGGTCAGTGAAAAAGAGGAAGACCCTTAAACAAGTAGCAGCAACAATGGGCTCAAGTGTGACCGGACTGGACGGATGGGATGGCGCAGGACGGGGCAGTGTTTTGTTCTGTTGTGCAGAGGGCTTCTATGAGTCAGAACCATAGCCCCTAACAACAGTAAGAATTTTAGAACATAGTCCGGAATCACTGGTTTCCTTGCAAGACACAAAGGTATTCATGAGTTGTTGTAGAAATTTAGCCCGTTGTACATTTTCTATACTCCTTACGCTGGATTCCTTTCCTTATGGGACGTGAGGAAAATATGGAGGGTCCTCTAAGTTAGATTTTCTATAAGTAATTCAAACAAATGAACCAGGTATCTACCACTATGAATAATTTCTTCATTATGTTGTTATTGTTAAGTGCCGTCGAGTCAGTTTTGATTCACAGCGACCCTGTATAGACTTGCTGAGGAGCAGTTGGTGGGTTTGAACCCCTGATTTGTGGTTAACAGTCCAGTGTCTGTCCTATATATAGCGCCACACCAAAAATGGCATTAGATTTACTGTGATTGGTCCATAGGGAGATCTTTCGAGCAGTGAAAATCAAGTTTATAAGGAGCTACATTGCCTAGCCACCGGGGTACCTACCAGTCGCTTCTAGATATTATGGGACAGCGAGAGTGTGTATCCTATGTTTGTAATTCAGCTGACGAGACTGGTAAGGATCACAAGTGAATGACAACAGGTGGAGTGTAATGAACTACTCAGCTCAGTTGTAAGTTACAAGCGTTGTATGCAGACGGGAGATAAAAGTGAGGGTCAAAATGATAAGTAGGGAGCAGATGAGGCTTTCATAAAGATTCACAGTCTAAGGTTGTTGTGAGTGCGAACAACTTAGTGGCAGTAGGGTGGGGAAGGAGCCCTGGGGACTCAGCGGATCAGCAGTTAGAATCCACCCAGTGGCTGCATTGGTGGTCTGCTCCCATAAACACCGACAGCCTCACATTGAGTCACTGAGTCAAAATTGGCTTGATGACATCCAACACCTCCAACAAAGGCAAAGGCATTAAGCATCGGCTGGGTCTCTCTGCCCTATTTGGATGATTCTTATTCATGAATTTAAACCTCCATGTTCTGTTTCCCAGGAGCCTGTAACACACTGCTGCTAGCCACAAGGTTGGCAGTTTGAATCCATCCACCTTTCCTGTGTCAGTGGCGGCCTTTGCAGTGCCCTGTGGGGCAGTTTGACTCTGCCCATAGGGTCACTGTGAGTCAGAAGCCACTCAAAAGTCTTCAAGTCTGGTTTTTAGTTATGTCCCCAAAGCAGCTTGGTCTTCTCTTCTTCATATTTGTCACTTTGCAGGACAGAAGCCTCGTTAGTCTTCACACATAGAGCTCAGGGAATATTTGTAGAAACACCCGGAAAGGCAGAAGTCAGAGCTACACGAGGAGGTGGATGTGGATGGAGAGAGGGCCCTCTGGGAAATACGCCAAGTCCTGGGTGTGGCTGAGGACTCTGTCAGAGTTGCTCAGAGTCCCACAGAAGGACGTGGGGGGCCCCCTTGATCTATGGAATCGGAGCTCTTAAGTCTCTAAATCTTTTCCCACATGAGGGCTATACGGGCATACCCCATTTTATGGCGCTTCGCTTTCCGGTACCACCCACATGCAGCATCGTTTACACATTGAAGGCTGGTTGTAACCCTGCATTGAGCAAGCCTACCGGCACCATTCCCCGCAAAACATGAACTCAATTTGTGTCTGTGTCCCACTGTTGGAATCCTCACAAGATTTCAAACTTTGCCATCATGCTCTTGGCTTTATAGACGACAGCTGAACGTCAACGTAATTTTGATCTGCACTGGGAAGCCAAAAAAATTTTGTGTGATTCACTTTGCTGTGCGTGTTGCTTGACTGCAGTGGTCTGGACTTGAACCTGCACCATCTCTGAGGTCTGTCTGCATAATAAATACAGTGCGTCAGCCTTCCAAAGCCTGGTTCACATCTAGTTTCGGATAAGAGGTTGGGGACCTGTGTTGTAGGCTCATGTAGCCTTATAAATCAAAAGCTGTTCCAAGAGACACCCAGCTCTCCCGTAAGGAGTAAAGCAGATAGGGAGGCGGCAGGGTTCATTCCCATCCTGTGTGGTACTGCTAACCCATGTCCTGGGCCTCAGGGAAGGAGAACAGGATGCGAGGACACAGACGATACCTTGGAAATGATGGTTGTCATGGTAGCGGTGATGGATTCTCCCGTCATATTCCTGTCTGGTTCTGATGGAGGCTTCACTTCTTCTCGCTTGGTTTTGTACTGCACGTTGGGGAAGAAAACACACATGCAAATACAAAAGAGAGCTTGTTAGAGCATCTGGGGGTGAAACCACAGGGAAACGGGGTTTTGGCCAAACGAGTGCTACTCCATAGTTGTACTACTGACTGACACCTCTGTTGGCCCGAGCGTTCGATGGCATGACTCATGAGGTTTTGGAACCAAAAGTGGGATCAATGAATCCAAACCACGGACTCCCACAAACACCATACAATAATGCCAGAATAGTCTTTTACTCCTATAATAGGGACAGACATACGGATGGAGCACTGATGTTAAAGAAACTGGAGGTTCTATTTGTAGATGCTCTAACAGACCCCACAGAGGATCAATGTGCTAGGCTGCTGAAAGGTTCAAGGTCATCCAGAGATGCCTTGGAAGAAAGACCTGGCAATCCACTTCTGAAAAAAAATGGCCACTGAAAGTCCCACGGAGTGCAGATCTACTCAGACGCACAATGGGTGTGCCACAAGTCAGCGTTGGCTGGACTACAACTGATGAACTGATCTGATAGACTCTACAGTAATTCTTCAACCATTTTTGCAATCTATATTGTTTTACATTTTTGTATTGTAGTGAAATAAATACAGGTTAACAGACATTTCAAGCACTTTCACATGTGACATTTCACTCAGTGCCATGAATTACATCCACTGTGTTGTCATCAGCGTGACAGCAACTAACAACAACAGTAATGCTGGGTGACAACCAGCACCAGCCATTTCTAAACATTTCATCCCCTTTAACAAGTACCCTGTGCTCCTCGTCTGGGACAACCATGCCATCACTTATGAGGGTAGTCCTCGCGCCTGTAATAAACATCACGACCTGACAGACTGGCTTGGAGCATTGTGCTCTTTCCAGATCCATCTATCTGGGGTCCAATTGAAAGACTCGATCGGTAACTCAGGGCAGGGAATTTTTGTTCACGGGGAGGAACAACTCAGAAAAGGAGGTGAAAACGGTTGTATAACACACATTTTATCCATGTCTCTGAATGGCATGTGCAGAAGCTGCCAAGCTGCTATGTGCTTTGCTGTGTATCTTTTCTCAACAAGAACAACCCAAAGGAAAGGAACAATTAACACAAGCAAGATTTGACTGTATGATTGTTCCAGAACCAACTTTCTATTTTATTATTTTAGGGTTATTCAATAGACGAGATTTCTGTTCATTCTCTTCCTACAGCTGTTTGGCTCTGCAGAGCCAGTCTACCATTACACAGGCTTAAATGCCTCTCCTGTTGGGTTTTATCAACACCAAGAACCTCACAAATGACCACTGTGGCTGATCGCAAAGGGACCCTGAGATTGCCATGGTTCTGTGCCTCCTGGGGATGGGCAGGGAGCAACTGAATTGCCATTTTTATGAGTTTACACAGAGGGCTTTGTTCCTGCCGTCTATGTAAATGAACATATCTGTCTGGCATGAAGAGAGCCAGCTTTCTTAAAGCGCTTAGACACAAAGAGAAAAAGGCTTGAAGTCAATGGAGTAAAGAGAGTGTCACGTGACGACATCATGACACGAGCTCTGTAAAGCCCCAGCTGCTGCTGCTGTTTGCTGCTCTGGAGTCAGCCTTCACTTCATGGTCACCTGGTCCTACACCATCCCCAGACTGGGTTGCAAGTTAGACCCCTGTGATCCACAGGGCTTTTGTTGGCTGATTATCAAAAGCAGATCGCCAGGACTTTCTTCCTAGTCTGTCTCAGTCTGGAAACTCCAAAGAAATCTGTTCAGCATCCTCACAACAGGCAGGCCTCCACTAACAGGTGGGCGGTGGTGGCCTGTGATGCACTGGCTGGGAACGGAAGGTGAGAATTCTACCAGACCCACCACTCCCACCAAGACCCATTGATGATTAAGGAGCCTCCTTGCCCGGGCACACTAACTCCACCACACAGGTTAGATACTGATTTCCCAGTCCCCGAGGAAAAGGGAAGAGGACATGGAGAGGGACAGAGAGTGTAAACTTCTCCACGATACCATACAGTTCATATTAAAAAACATTCATTCATTGACAGATTCTTGACCTGGATCCATTTGATTCCTTTGGGGGGAAATAAGCAGAGGAAAACGGGGACCAGAGTAAGCAAAGGCTTGCTATTTACTACACGCTGGACAGATAAGGCGGTACCATACAAGTGGATGATCCTCGGAAATCCTCCACTCAGGGGCTCACTTCCTGCTGCCATTTTTGAGCAGCGGATTCCATTTCTTGGGTCACAGCAGGGAAAATCACATTTGGTGATGGGAAGAGGGGAGTTACTGGAGGGTTAAAATCTTTAGGATTACCTGCTGAAAACAGGCTTGGACAAGATTCTCAGGGAACATGTTCCTGTTGGAGACATGAAAAGTAGTATGATGTTAGGGCAGAGTGTTTGCCGTCAGACCCAATACATTGATGGAAAGGTAAAGGGTGCAGATAGTAGAATTCTGGGTTTTCTTTGCCTTCTCCATGGCACAATATTGCCCTGTGCTAAGATTTATTTTTATCCTGCTGAGCCTGAACCTAGTTAAAAAGCTCTCCTACTCAACCCTGAGTCAACTGACAGATTGAGTGACCGGAACATCCTTGCTGTTCTGGGTGAATCATCTCACTGAAAGGTGAAGGGTAGACACTCCCGTTTAAGAACTGACTTGTTAATAGCCTGCCCATTACTGTTCTCATCAATGGAGATGCATGTTTATCAGGGGTCCACTGTGCCTCCATATTCTAGATGCCAAATATAAACATCTTTATAATGATGGAATTCAGTTAAATAAACCTGTGAAATCCGAGTGTGCAAAGGAAGGTATGGTTTCTATCCAACCTAAGTTGAATGCCCAGAAAGGTTCAATAAAAACAAGCAACTAGTGTTTCTGTGGGTGAATTAAGTGAGGGAAGACAATGAAAAACTAAACAAACTGGGCAGAATTTGGCACATGGATTTTCTCTCTCTCTCTCTCTTTTTTTTTTTGCAGTTTCTACAGTTTTCCTTTGCTTCACTTTATGGAAATAGAATCTGGATATGCTCTAACGGGTGGGTCTATAAGAGATGTCTATTCATCAGAGTCCTGGGGTGGCGCTATAGGATAAGCACTTGACTGCAATGTGGGTTTGAACTTCAAGATCGGCGGTTGAAACCCACCAGCCGCTCATTGCAAACCCTATACAGAGTCGCTATGAATCAGAATGGACTCAACAGCACTTAACAACATGCAACAAAAATGATTCGGAATTCCTATCAATAGATGTTGTTGTTGTTATGTGCTGTGGAGTCGGTTCCGACTCATAGTGACCCTGTACTATGATTTCCGAGGCTGTGAATCTTTATGGGAGCAGAAATCCTCATCTTTCTCCCACGGAACAGCTGGTAGTTTCAAACTGCTGACCATGAGATTAGCAGCCCGATTTGTAACCACAGCGCTACGAGAGTTCCTACCTAAAAATTGGCAATGAAATGTGTTTAAGTTTTAAGCGAAGTAAAGTATGAAAGTACGTCTCTGTCATTTTTAAAATGATTCTCTGCTTTGTGGTTTTTCCTTAATTGATCAACTATTGGGCCACAACTGCTTTAGATAAGATGGCTTCACTGGGTCAGCCAATGACGTACAGGCACGCCTCGTTCCACTGAGCTTTGCTTGGTAGCATTTCACAGACACTGATTTTTTTTCTATTTTTTTTCAAAGTAAATTAAAGGTTTGGTGCAACCCTGCATCAAGCAACTCTACTGATGCCAACAGCATGTGCTCACCTGGTGTCTGTGTCCTACTGTGATCATTCTCGCAAAAGAGCACAGTTTTCCAGTAAGCCATCGTGCACATCAAAGACTACATGGAAACAGAGCGCTTGCATTTCTACACACTGGGAAGCCCAGTAAATTCATGGGACTCGCTTTAAGGTGATATTTGCTTGACTGCGTTGGTCTGTTACACAACCTGCAGTGTCTCCGAGGTGGGCTTGCATGTCTTCAGGAGTGCTCCAGCCACCAGACACACTTCCTGTATCTCTGCACCTTTAGTTCTAACAGAGGAGGCCGCTCTTCCCACCCTCTCTTCCAAATGAGCCTGCCACATACCCGTCAGACACCTCCTTGCCTCCTTGGAGCCTCAACCTGGCAAGCAGGAGCAGCCATAGTGTGCAGGGGCCCACATAACATGAACATGCAGGCTCATTAGCCATGAAAGCACATGCGGGGGCCCATGTGACTGCCCGGGCCAATGCTGTGGCGCCTCCTACTGGAGGCCAGTCACCTGATCAGGTCCAACATGGCATCCACTGTGCTGACTTCCGGGGTGCTGCCCACCCTGTCGATTTCGTCCACTTTCTGGGTGACACCAGGCTTGATGCTCACCACCAGCACGATTCCTACATCCAAAGAAGCCCCAGAGAGTGTTAGGAACCTTCTAGAACCCCTAGCATCCCTGTGCCTCCCTCTCAGAACTACCAGGCACTGTGGGACCAGGCAACACTGTGGCGGGGACCTCAAAGGCGGCCTTTATTAGTTTTTTCTTTAAGCGAAGAAGCAGAAAGAATTTTTTTCCCTTAAAATTTAAAGAAAAATTATTTATTGTTATTTTGTTGTAAGTGAAGGGGCTATATCTCAGAACTGCTTCCAGAAGAAACACCTGTTGACTGGAATATTCTCTCCTTACCTTTAACTTATGAGACCAGCCTAGTTGGGTGCTGAGGTGAAAGTGATTATTTTCCCAATTCAAGCAAAAATAAAACTTTTTAAAACTTTTACCCACGTTGTGTTGTTGTTAAGTGCTGTTGAGTCAGTTCTGACTCATAGCAACTCTGTATAGGGTTTCTGAGGAGTGGCTGGTGGGTTTGAACTGCTGACTTTGTGGTTCACAGCCCAGTGCTGATTCACAGTGCCACTTTTACCCATAGGTCCCGGTTATTCTCCTGAGGGTCACACAGAATAAGCCTCACCTTGCTCCCACACGCAGGCCGTCAAATATCTGGAAAGCTGTCGTGTGGAAAAAGCATTGCTCCGTGTGATTCTAAGGGGTGGAATGAGAACAAGCAGGCAGGAACTATAGGGGAAAAGTTCATTCACGGTGAGGAAGGGTGGAACATCTTTCAGAGCGAAATGGTAGGGTGCTAATTTGGGTTCCTGTCACGTGAGGTGGGATGTTGTAGACACCAAAGCATGAGAGATCAGCTGACTAGAAGGTTGTGATGGAAAAACGTCCTCCTGCCCTTTGAGGAGGAACTTATCTGAGGGGGTCAGTTATACAAGCGTAGGGAGGGGGCAATAGGAAGACCAGGAGTGGACATGATCTACTCTGTCTTTTTAGGTATGCAGAACATGTGTGTCCAGCTAGCAATACACAGAGCCCTGGTGTGGCACTGTAGGATTAACACTGGACTGTAACCACAAGGTCGGCAGTTCAAACCCACCAACTGCTCTCAGAAGCCCTATACAGGGTTGCTGTGAGTCAGAAATGACTCAACAGCACTTAACAACAACAACAGTAATGATAGAGTCTCTGCCTGGGGCAAATGATTAATGCATTGGAAAGGCTGGAGGTTTGAACCCACCCAAAGGTACCTTAAAAGAAAGACCTGGAGATCTACTTCTGAAAAGTCAGCCACTGAAAACTCCAAGGAGCACAGCTCTACTCTGAAACTCCATGGGTGGGAACTGACTCCACGACAACTGAGCTGGTAGTAAGAAAGCCAGCATCTTGCTTTTCTTCTGTCATTTTTAATTTGTCTCCCTCTTCCTCAGAACCTCATAAGAAGACACGGGTTTGACTTGAGGCGGGATTCCGTTCCCCTGGCCACATACCACTAAGGACTGCACTGGACTGTGAAACCACAAGGTCGGTGGTTCAAACCCACCAACTGCTCCTCAGAAACCCTATCAAGGTCATTATGAGTTGGAGCTGACTTGACGGCACTTACCAACAACACTAAAACCTCATCCTAAGTCCATCCTCAAACTTTGTAGTAAGTTATTTGTACAGGATTGCCAGGGTGAAGCAGGCTGTGACATCCCTGCCAAATTCCCTTCTTTCTCTCTCTCTCTCTCTCATTCTGGGTGTCCTCCTTCAAATATCCCCCAAGTCACAAAGCGTGAGACAAGCTTAATTCACACAAGAATCCCACAGGTTCGGGAGCAGCTCGCTTCCCTTTCTAGAGGACGTGCTCCCTTTTTCAAGATTCTGTAAACTCTTGGTGCTAAAATGTTCTTTCTAGAAATATTTTATAATTATACTTACTCCACTATTACAGACAGAACGTCTAGTCTAAGAATCACATTAGCTCTTGGCTTCACCTCCTTTCACCCTGTGATCCTGACAAGACATAGTAATGTCACCTTCTTCTGACATAAATAGTATCAGTTAGTATTAAATCTTCTTCACACAAAGGTGCTCCGTACACATCAAGCCTAGACGCTTCATGGCTGTGTGACAATATGAGTGGGCTTCAAAAAAATCTGTGGCAAAAGGAATTTTAAAGGTAACGGGAAACACCCACAAACGTTTTGAAGCCCTCTCATTGTATTTTCTGATAAGAAAGAATAAATAGTGCATTTAAAAAGCTCTACTATGTTTTAAATACAGAATCACCATCATCTAGAAGAATGTTGTTGGTAAGTGCCACCGAGTCGATTCCGACTCAAAGCAACCCTGTATGGGGTTTCTGAGGAGCAGCTGGTGGATTTGAACCACCAACCTCATGGTTCACAGTCCAGTGCTGATCCCACAGAGCTACGCCTGGAGTCCTCCAGGGACTAAGGATTGAGACACTCTATCTTCCTACCTAGAATGACAGCGATGACCGTGGTGCAGAAGTAGTATACGACGGCCCGCAGCCCAATCTTCCCGGACACGTTGGAATCCAGAGCAGCAACACCTGAAAGAGAAAGGGACGGAGGTGTGTATCCAACGGCATTCGTTTCGAGAAGATCAATTTCCATTACTTGGTGATCCAGTTTTCAGCGTGTGAACGAAAAGCTGAATGCTCTTTCCTACGTCCATCGGGTCTGCCTCACACACATTGTGAAGGGACCAGGGGCAATGAGAGAAAGAAGCATTTCAAATTCCCAAATGCAGAATCCAGAGAGGGCAGCCGAGTGGGGGCCTCAGTCTGCAGCAGCAGGTCTTTGGTTTTTCTCGGCGGGTGGTGATGAGGCAAAGCCATAAGGAGTCTGCCTTCTGCAGCTGCCCTCAGAAGGGTAGCAGGATTTTGCACATCACATTCAACACCCCTTAAGGCAAACCCCATTTGGATCTCAGAATCAGGAAAAGTTGATCGTGAAGAACATATATATATCACCCTTGAATGATGCGATGAGTCACGCTACTCAAAACTGTTTCCCCTTTTTGCTTTTTCTGCTAGGAAGCTCAGACACCAAATCCATTGCCATAGAGTCAATTCAGGCTATAGTGACTCAACAGGACAGAGATGAACTAATTGTTCTTTAGGGCTTTTGAGACTATAGAACTTTAAGGGAGCAGACAGCCCAATCTTCCCACCATGAGACATCTGGTAGGTTTGAACTGCTGACTTTGTGATGAGCAGCCCAATGCTTACCCCATCTAGAATCAAGTTAAACAAACAAACATATTTATGTTTGATTATAAAAGCAATATATGCTCATTACAAATACCTGGGAGGCGGGGAATATAAAGATGAAAACAAAAATCTCTTCATCACATCCGGTAGTTAATATTCTTTCAGTATTTTTCTACTTTCTCTCAACACAGCTATAGCAATTTTACAGCTTTAAATGTTCTCTTCTTAAGCTCTGGTAGCCATAGTGGTTACGAATCGGACTACTAACCTCAGGTCAGCAGTTCAAAACTACCAAGCTGTTCTGTGGGAGAAAGATGAGGCATTCTGCTCCCGTAAAGATTTGCAGCCTTGGAAACCCTGTATAGGGTCACTATGAGTCGGAACCGACTCCACAGTACTTAACAACAACACTGTCTTGTAAGCAGTTTTTCTCACAATTAAACATTCACTCTGAGGATAAATTTAATCTTATCTGAGGATAAATATTTAATTTATCTGAGGATAAATATATAATCTTCTGTCCTGTGGCTGAACCATAATGTATTTATAATTGGATTATTCACTTATTGCTAGGCCTAGAGATAGTCTCAGGGCCAAGTTCAATAAAAATAAATAAATAATAAAAAAAGAAACCCCAGTAGTTTCATTACGCATCCTAGCTAGCAGATTTTCTTCCTCTTTTCATGATTCTCAAATTGCTTCAACATTAATATTATTGTAGATGGCTTCCACTGTAAGACACGTTAACATTTGTTTGAAAGAGGTAATATATAATTTAAGAGACTTGTGAGGGTGTTCTGGTATGGTGCTGGAGGATAAGCACTGGACTGCTAGCTACAAGGTCAGCGGTTCAAACTCACCAGTTGTTCCTGTGAAACCTCTACAGGGTTGCTATGAGTTGGAACCATCTTGAGGGCACTTAACAACAACACGAGAGGAGCAGAGGTTCATGGGTAGAAGTCTCACCTCCCATGTGGAAGATCTGGATTTGACTCCCTGGGTTCGAGTCACCTCATGTGCAGCCCCCAACCACATGTCAGTGGAGGCTTCATGTGGCTGTGATGCTGAACAGGTGGTCAGCAGTTTTCCAACTAAGATAGACTAGGAAGAAAGACCTGGGGATCTACTTCTGAAAATCAGCTGGTGAGAACTATGGGTCACAAGGGTCCAATCCCCTGGTACACAGACTTGCCGTGAATAAGGGCTGAGAACAGCAGTAACTACATTGGCCATCGTGTCAGCCCTAGTTTCAAGAGATCTTTGGCTGTCACTATAATGACTGGGCACTGTCCGGACCTGACGGGGTTTTCTGGAAGGCACGGAGAGCTGCACTGGATGTGGAAGGCAAAACTTCCTCCTTGGTACACACTCTTGCCCTCTATCATACACGATCCCACAAAGGAGTTGACCAACATGGCCCTCTGACTGGTCTGCTTCTATGTGGGCCACGGGCAAGGAGAGAAACAACCCTGTCATCTCTCAGCAGCAAGCAGTCTGATTTCCAAAACGACACAGTTATTGTGAGTCAAATGACTGAGGTCACGTCTCAGTTTTAGAGTTCAGCACATCATGCTGGCAAGCATTCGTGATGATTGTAGTAACGGTGGTTGTTGTGTCTGTCCCATACCTGTCTTCAGAGTCCAAGCTACTGGGCAGTGGGGAAGATGAGAGACTGTCCCCTGGGCCCGGAAGCAAATCTGGCATGCACAAAGACCTACTTCAAGCTATCACAGGCAGTGTTGATATCCACTCTGAACACTCTACAAGGCCCACCATTTTCTGAAGCGCCTGGGGAATTATGTCCCTCACTGGGGGTTGTACACATGTGATGCATAGGAAACATCCTGAAAGAAGAAAGCTATAGTCGTCATGGCAACAGAACAAGTCATTTCTCCCTCTAAACACACCAGTCCTCAGGCTGCTAACTACTCCTGTGGAAGCTAATGTTTTCAGAGCTCTGGTCTCTTTAGCAGGAAACCCAGGACAATGTGAAGGCCGATCGCCAACATTTAGACAAGACCAAGCAATTGCCACTGGATGGGTAGATTGCAGTAGTCACATCCTGGGGCAACCTAGCCAATAGACATAAGCCTCTTCTTTGGAAAAAATTACAGTTGGGTATGCTAAGGACATTTTGTTTTCCGGATGGAAAGAGAACTTTAAAGTAACAGTTGTGCAAAGAACAAGAGCCAAAATCAAACAAGAAGGCTCTTTCATAGACTTTAACCTGTAAATACTTTTATTTGGTCTTTGTATAGGGTTTCTGAGAAGTGCCAGCCTTGTGGCTGGAAGTCCAGTACTTATCCTACAGTGCCACACCAGAACTTGTACTTTTAGTAGATGTCCACTTTGAGTAGGTCCCATCGTCACAGTTGGCTGCAGAATTGTTTCAAGCCGGCTCAGGACTTCCTTCCAGCAGTGAAGCAAACACAATCTACATGGGTAACTGTTTCCAGCACAGACTACTATATCTTCATGTGTCTTAACAATTTGGCCTGGGGCACCTGTCTCTGCTTCTACCAGGACCCGGCTGGTAATAAAATGCTACACAAGAGTAAGATTCTAGGTGGAGTTTATTTCTTAAATAAATCCACTCTGGAAGGAGCAGGCCACGCAGGAATTGATTCCAAAGCCCTTCCCTTCAGCTCTGCAAAGTTCCTGGACAGAACACAAGCTTCCTTCCAACCAGCCAGTGCGCTCCTTCCCTTCACATCTCCACAGTTATTCCTCTACCTCCCTGGTCCCCAGTCATTAGTGGGTGAAGCTGGCCCCCCAAATCTAGGCTCTTGGATGATATATCATGCTGTGTTTGGGGCAGGGGACACATGTATGAAAACAGCCCAATCTCAGTAAAAGGAACAGGGGTGCCTGCATGGCACAAACAGTTTTTGTTCTACTACTAACCCAAAGGTTGGCAGTTCGAACCCACTCAGCAGTATCATGGAAGAAAGGGCTGGCAATCTGCTACAGTGAAAGATTAAAACCACACTCATTCCCTTTGAGCAGATTCCAACCAGCAGTGACTCCGTAAGACCAAGTAGGAGTCCTGAGGTGGTGTGATAAGGTAAGCACTTGACCACGAGGTCAATCTGAACTGCAAGGTCAGCAGTTCAAACTCACCAGGTGCTCCTTGGAAACCCTACACAGGGTTGCTATGGGTCGGAACTGACTTGAAAACACTTAACAAGACCAAACAGAGCTGCCTTATAGGGTTTCCCAAGCTGTAAATTTTTATGGATGCAAACCGCCACACTTTTCTTCCTCAGCGCAGCTGGTGAGTTTGAACTGTCAACCTATTGGTAGAAGCAGAGCACTTTAACCACAGTGCCATCAGATTACAGCACAGAAAACCCAACAAAGCAGTCTCACTCTGTAACACACGGGGTTCATTATTAGAATAGACTTAACAGCCATGGATTTGGTTTGGGTTTATAATAGGAATATTACAGAAGTCAATAAGACTATAAAAATACCTGTCTGGATGGCTTTTACCACTACTTTCTGCTAACAACAATAACAACAACTATGATTATTGCTGTAGAAATGATGCTGCTGGTGGTGGCAGCAGCCACTCTGCATTGAGCAAACTAACCATAAGAAGCTAATTTCCTTTCATTCTCACTCTAACCTGATGTGTCATCAACTTGTGGTGACCCTACGGGTGCAGAGAACAGTGCTTCGTAGTTTTCCATGGCTGTGACTTTTTGGAAACAGACAGCCAGACCTTTCTTCCGCAGTACCACTGGGTGGATTTAACAGCCAATCTTTCGGCTAGTGGTCTAGTGCTTAATTGTTTGTGCCACACAGGGATTCCATGACCTGATGAGGTAGGCAGTTTGGTCCTATTTTCGAGGAGAAAGACTGTGTAGCATTCCAGTCACACGCTGGGGAGGGGTGGAGACCAGTTGAGCCCTGCGTTGTTTTTTCAAAACCAGGGGTAGTTCTTAGGCCGGTTATGGGCCAGAAAAAGACATAGGATCGAAGGATGTCCTTGGAGGTTCGGGGCACCTGCTGGCTTTTCCTTTTAGAACACAACCTTTGATTTCTTCACCTCGGGAAGCCACTGTGAGCTGGGTGCTGGCTCTTGGTCCCTGTGCTAACAATCATTTCAACTTTTTATACAGACGCAACAGTGGTCATGGGCTAAACAATAGTGTGCTTTAAAAATAAACACTCGAGAGCAAAAGACTCCCCCAGAGCACTGTGATGAAGCCACCACCCAGGCAAACAGTTTTCATGACAATCTTGTTCAAGCTTGCTGCTAAAAACCCCAAACCAATTTCACTCATATTGAGTCGATTCCGACTCAGAGTGAACCTAGGGAACAGAGTAGAACC